GGTAGTGCGATACATATGAGTGAGAAAAACAAACAAAAAACTTCGGGAATCAGACAGCAGGAAATGGAGTTATAGGGAAAATACTTCAAAAATATAATTGTACAATAAAAATACGATTCGCTCATATCTTTCTTATTATACTTTCTCTCGATTTCATTTGAGTTTTTTTCTTTTTCGTTCTCTCTCGATTTTGGGTATTGTTACGTATTTTAATAGTAAATTCAGAAAAAAAAAACAGGCCATATCATTAAGAGATAGGTTTATACATTTAATTGCTACAATCAATATGACATTTAAACATACCTTTGAAAATAATGTATTAGAAAAAAACCAACTATTATAAATTTAGTTATGGATAAAGATGACCAATGATAATATAAGAGATAACATGGTATAATGACACATGGAAGTTCTTGAGTAAACCATGCTAGACGAGCTGGAATTCCACTATTATTTATATTATAACGTCCATAAGGAGCTTTAATATTCACAACAAATTCAAGAACAATTACAAGAAAAGCACTAATAAACCATAAATATGGACAAACATAACTAACAAAGTTTTGATCATTAAGTATATATTTCAACATTTTAAATAAATAATATCGATTTTAATTTATAATACTAGTGTAAAATGTCTAATGAAAATAAGAAAAACAAACAAAGAATTATATCTAAAAAAACAAAACTATCTTTTTAATTTTGAAAGTAATCCGATATATATATTTTTTTTTCTCTTCATTTTTGAAATTGAATCTATTTCATTACATAATCAATTATCTGTATTGTGTCTTTTTAAGGTATTAAACACAAATCAAAGATCCGAGTGACACAAAAAATTAATATATGATGACATCACAATGTGTTCTTTCGATATTTTACATTGGTTTCATTTATATACGAAGTTCAATATGTTGCACTTATATTCCTTGTCAATAGCTATTTGCTCGATTGTTTTATTCATTGAATTTAGATATATAAGCTTGATTAGTATCAATGTTTTTTTTCTCTCTTTCGTCATAAATCATTTTCTTATCAATCTTCATTTATCATTTAGTGGTAGAATTGTTATATTTGTCTCATTAATCAGAGGTAAAAATTTAGCAAAACGTATATGTACACACAGTTGAGATAGTTTTTTGTTCATGACCTGTTGTTTCGTAATTTTCTTTTTGTGCTTGAAAAATTATTAACGAAAACGATCTATATTTCATGCTAATATTATTACAAGTACGATACATCGAGAAACTAATAACTATCAGCAAGAACGGAGATACGTAAGAGGTCAAATCGACCTACTAATATTTTCTGGGCCAATTCTATCGAATCCTATATCAACGGAACGAATATGTTGAGACTAACATTTAAGTACTAATTAGTTTCATGCGGCTTTGGTCATTATTCTAATAATCTATCCTATCCTTGTAGATTAAATTGAGAATAAGCAGACAAAATACTACTGAAATTATGGATTTTACAGTTCTTGGATGTTGCGTAAATATCATATATAAATCAATAAGTGATTGTTTAATTAAACGAGATTTAAGTTTGATGTACTAGTAGACATTCTTAGTATATATATACTGTATTTATCATCAACTTTTATCTTTGAATAAATATTTTAATTCAAAAAATTTAAATTATCTAAGCGTTGATATTGCTCATTTGATAGCTCTTTTAAAAAGTTACAAAATCATATATTTTTCAAAGTAAGAAAGATTTATCCACTTGAAAAATTTGTTAACAAACTATCCTCAATGTTCATTTTTATATCTTTTTGATAAAGATTTTGACCGGAAAAGTCTCTATTTGAGTCAAAATTAGTATGTTATTCGAAATGAGCATAAAAAATTGAAATGATCCTTGTATGATTAAAAGAATTTCTATAACTGTTTTTTTCTCGAAAAATTTATCTTCTAGTCTCCCTCAAGAGTCAGACAAAAAATGAACTCCTTGAAAATACTGCTTTTATTTTCTGTATATCTACCATTTTATCATCTAATAATTTTAAACAACTTTCGAAGTTTCTTTATAGTGTCTAAATAGTGTTTTGATGCAATTCATTTTTCGTCTAGTCTCTGAAGGGAACCCGGAGTGAACTTTTCGACGAAAAAAAAAAGTTATGGAAATTTTTAAAATTGTACATAGATCAACTCAGTTTTTTACGCTCACTCTGAATATCACATTGATTTTGACTAATCGAAACCTTTTAAATATTAATCAACAGGATGCAAAATTTAAACTTGAAAATAATGTGTTAAAAAAATTGTTCCAGTAAGGAAATTTTTTTTAACTTTGAAAAATATATGACCTTGTTGAATTGTAAACGAGCCATCAAATGAGCAATACTAGAATTTTGGTCATTTTATTTTTCTAAAGTAATATATTTTTTCAAATGATAATGGATCAATTGAATGATATAACAATTGTTGGGTGCGACGGATATTGGTTAGAATCTAGAATTAAAAAGAAAGACAAAATATTTTTTACATTTAATGTTACGAATTAAAGACGATGAACAGTAAGATCTGACACATTATTAACAAACGTAACAAATACAACAAAATTGGATCAGCAGATGAATCTAATAGATACTGTTGTTGAAGTCAAAAATAGTAATTCATCGTTTATTGCTAGATTTATCAGTGATGGATTTAGAAGTGGATGAACTTCAAAACACGTTTTGTGACCATGATCGTCCTCTATTCCAAATCCTAAATCCGCTATTGACATTTATTACTCTAATTTTCATATCAAGAAATATTGCTATCGATGAACATACATCCCTATGATTCATATGAGCAGATGAAAACATGTTAATCTATCTATCTAAAATATATAAAAATCATGATAATTCTTTTTTATTTATCGTCAAAAATCTCAATAAAAAATTTAAGAACACAAGAAATCAAATTCTATTATTAAATATTAAAAAAAAAACATTAAGCAGCTTGCTCGTCTGTAAACCAATCTGGTATAATTCCATTTTCTAAATATTTATCACGTTTAATTGATTGCGATTCTAATATATCCAGAGCACCAAAAATAGAACCTATAGATAAAATAAAAATCAATAAAATCTCAAACATATTTAAATAAAAACAAGAAACTTACCTCCTAACCACGCTGCATAATTTAATTGTGCAGGTGGAGAATGAAAATGAAATTGTTTTATAACTAATTTATTTACATATGTTGATATATTAACAAGATGAATCAATTCAGAATTTAAACGATGTAAAAAACCTGGCATCATTGCTGTACCTCCAATAACCAGAATATTATTAGCTAATTGTTGACGAAGATCAATAGATGACTAAAATATACAAATATTTCATTTTTAATCAATAATATAAGATATATACTTGAAGTAAAGTATCCAGTATTAATGTTGCTATTGATCTACCATCAATATCTTGTTCGAACAGAACTTCACATGCAAATTCTCTAATAAGAAAAAAAATTCAAATAATTTTTATTAGACTATTTATGTGTTTCTAATACCTCACTATTCCAGGAATACGAATAATTGTTATTGAATCTAATGGATAATCAATTGATGAAGCTTCTTTAAATGGATCTTTCTCTTCATCAGGTGCCAATCTATTTTTAGCATAAGTTTGTGCACGAGTAAATGGTGAAATGAAACAACAACGAACTAAATAAAATATTTCATGTGGTTTATTAGAAAAAAAATTTAAATGATCCAACCTTTAATATCTTCCAAAATATCTTCTGATAATTTTATCTCAATTGATCTAAATGATTGTTTTTTTCCTTGACGAATTATTACAGCATTTTGTTCAAGTAATAATTGAATTTGTCTAAATAAAAATATTACATTAGTTTTTCTCTCAATTTTCGTAATCGTATTTTATTTAGAAGCAAACAAAACTTTTCTTTTTCTTTGAAAAAATTTGCACCGTTGATTCAAGTATCATGTCACCTTATCGTTTTCTGTATTAGTGACAGAATGACTCGTGTTAAAGTTATTCACTTTGACTCATGCGAAAGTCCATGTGCAAACAAATGATAGAGGCAACAAAAGAGTGTTCATCAAGATGCTTTTCTCTCGCCAAAAAACAAAAAAAATTCAATTTTTGTCATAATCATCGAAATTAAGATAAATGCATGGAAGGGTAGTGCAAGGCCTGATCTTCCATAAATGACATGAATTTTTTATTCGGTACCTCCTTCTGTGCGAAAATTTGTGATAATTTTTGTCATCATTTGCTTGAAAAATATGCTGTTTTCAGAGATTATGCATTCCCAAAGTTCTCTAAGGAGCTTTATTATAACCAATTGTCTTTTTTTATTTGAAAGAGCATGTCAAGATGCATGCATGACAGAATCCCTTTCTTGCATAAGACGTTATTACTATTATATAAAAGAGAACTTTTATAATTAGAATACCATTTTTTTGAGTGTTTTCAGACATTGAACTGTTTATCCTTTTTCTTCGTTCAAGAAGAAAAAATTTAAAAAACTTAACCTTGTACTTGCATCTTTTCAGTTTTCAGAAAATTTCTCTTGCATTCCATACTTGTTTCACCGGTACACCTCTGCGTTAATCCTTATTCAAGCAAAGGATGATAATATTAGGATTGAATCAGCATCAGTCGCTTTTTAATCCTTAGAAGGAAATTTCGTTTCTTTACAGAGGGTTCGATAGAAAAGGAAAATTTTTGTAGAGTCTTTTTATATGTTTTCAAGGTTCAAGATGATAAAATCGAGAATGATCTGGAAAGTTTTAGACACTACTCACTTTTTTGCGTTTTAAGTTAATGAAAATGAATAGTATCACAGGTTCAGTTACGAGAATATCTAAGTTTAGATCTTGACTATTACAATTAATACACTGTATGTTCGTAAAAAGAGAGAGAATTGATAAGGATTTGCAGAGATTTCGGAATGATAGTCTTATCGATGTTTCTTTCGAATTTGACCAGATTGAAGAGAAAAATACCGAAATATTTTTCAATTCAATCATACGTAAACTAATTCAACATGGATAAAATATTTTGAAATTGAAGAATCGAAAATAAGGATCGGTTCGCACCTTACTCCCACCATCGACTTTGTCGAAGTTTCTTCTTCTTCTATTTTATTGTTATTTTTCTGTGCAATTTACAATATTGTGTTGTTTAAAGATTTTTCACCAACTATATTCTAGATAGTTTATCGGCCTAATGATCACAAATGATTCCTTTCCTTAATTCTTTTATTTAATAAAATTCAACTTATCTATTCGACTCATAAATAGTATTTCCATTTCCTTACTTATGAATAGCTTTGCCTGCATATGATAAACTTTCAAATTGTATTGCTAGCGGTAAACCTTCAGCCACAGGTATTATTTGAGCTTCTTTATAACCAACATCAAGAACGAGTGCTGTATTTCGTCCTAATGTATATGTCGCAGCAAGATGTGATGGAATAAATGCTAAAGATAATGCCTACAACAGCAGCAATGTGTTTTATATAAACATATAGAATAATTTATTGAAAACAAACTTCAAATTTTTTTAATAAGATATCTGCCAGTAAATGTCGCACACGTGTAGGCGTAATTAGGGATTCGACAATTACGACACGTTGACCTCGACTATTTCCAATATTGTACCTGAACAAGACAGATACGATTATAAAAATTTATAATTAACTATTCATATTAACTTACTTGTAATACACTGATCGAATAAATTTAAGAAGACGATCATCATGTAATATGACTAAATCTGAATCATGTTCAAAGACAGATTTTTTCTGAAAGCACAAAAAACTACTGATTATCAGGAAAAAAAAGAAATTAAACTAATTCTATGAATACTTTTCCATCGATTGTAACACTAGTTGGAATAATATGACGAGGTGAAGCACTGCCAGCAAAACCACATCTAGAAAAAGTTATCTTTTCATTTTCTAATTTTACACTTTTTCTTTAAATAGTTCCTTCAACAAACTATGCTTTAAGATATATGAAACTATAATGAGCAGCAAAATATTAAGGCACTTTTTATATTTTGGCGATTACTTCGTCATCGAAAAATAGAGACAATTCTCAAAAAATATTCCATTAGATGTAGAATTGAACGAGCTAAATTTTAGAGTAGAACTTTTTGAAAAATTATTAGTTATAATCATTTAATATGATTAATTACTAACTAGACAAATTTTTCGTTATATAAATTTTGATCTTTGTAGAGTAGCTTTTGATTTATCAAATGAGATCTTGCACTCTTCTGTTCTTCGTCAGATATCGCACTCTGAAAATATTAAGTATGGAGCAAGCAAGAAAAAAAAATAACAGAAAATCATTAATGAAATTAGCCATCAAAGATAAATGGATTAAATCAAATGATAAACACAGGTCAGTAGAGTGCAAGGCTTCCTTTCAATCTGCACCATTTTTTTAAAGTTCTGAAATTTATGCATAGATCTCAGTTTTCTTAATCATTAATATAAATATTATTTTAATTTTAATTAGTGTTTAAAAAACTTTGTTATAAAGAGCTTTTTGCAAAACAAAAATATACAATGTTATTTAGCTTTCAATGGTCTTTCTAACAATATATACTTGATAATGAGAATTTATAGAAAAAATAATTTTCTAGTTAGTCATTAATACGATTAAATTTATTACAACTAATAATTTTTTAAAATTGCTTGTATTGCTTGATAACGATATGATCATCAAAATACTAAAAGTGCCTTAAATTTTTGTCTGCTAGAGAAAATTAAAGTTTCTTCTTTTCTTCACACTACGATCAATTAGATCAACAATCGGTGATTCGCATAGATCTTGATTCTAGCTTTATATATAGCACTTAAAACATGTTATTCATCTCCTTTTCTTTCATAGAAAAACATAGAAGTAAAAAGTGTGATCCACTTTATTTATTATACACTAGTGAATTGTAACTTTTTGGTGCCGTTGGTATTACAAACTAAAACTAGGCCAAAATGATTTCTGAGTAGTATATTTTATTCTACTCAATGCCAGTGTTAAACGGTAAAAATTTCTCAACACTTCACTGAATATTTAGAGAAATACATGTTGTATTTTTATTTTTCTTAATTCAATAATAAAATTTGTATTACTCATTGAAACTGTTCGAGTTATTTTGTCAGTTCTGTATAGAAGATAGGAAGTCAGAAAAAAGGCCAAAATACACTTGAATTTGCTTTGCTTGCCGCAACCTGTTCGTCTAAATTGTACCGGAAAAAAATATTCTCAAATGAGTTTGACTGGAAATAGTTGAAATTTCTTTTATTAATAGAACTTTTTGCTTTACATCTATTATAAATATTTGAACCAAATCGAACGCCTCATTGAAGGATTATAAAATAAAGTAGACAATTTTCAAATCATCATTCTACAAAGTGAGTATAATAACTTTTTTTCAGGAAGTCTGGTTATCATTTTTCCATAACAAAGCGGGTAAGAGAAAACTTTTTCTCATAAGTTTGTTACTGAAAGAGTCGGCTTTTGTTTTAAGTTTGTGTTACTCTACATGAACATATGCAAGTGTCTGTCAAACATAGTGAACTTCAAGATAGCGAACAACAAAGAAATGGAATTTTAATTAGATATATATTTTGATAGAATATCGAACGCTGAACAAAATAGTCTAATTACAGCTTTCTCCTAGACTAAATGTTTCCTTTTCTTTACACATGTCAATAAAAAATTATGTTATTTTGTAATGTATTTTTCATAACTCAACGACAATATGAAACTAAAGAGTTGAAATTTTATGTGACAGTGAGGTATTCAAACGAGAATAACATACAAAAAAATTGTCCAAATTTGTAAAGATAAACAGAAGTTATTAGTCAAATACAGTTAAAACCTCAATTGTACCAAAAAATTGCAATTCACTCATGTATTATTTTCATAGCATTATAAATATTAATTTCTCAAGTGCTTTTCTTTTAAAAAAAGCAGATTTGTTTTGATAAACTTTACTTCTTATATCAAAGATATACAGATTTAACTCATGACGAATTTATTTTATTTTTTCTTCTTAATCGACTCACTTCGTGTAGGCTTGTCCAATATCAATGACAATAACTGTTTTTTCACTAACTACAAGACTATTAATTAAAGATGTCATCGATAAAAATCTAAAAGAAAAATAAACAAATTAATATACACTTTCTATTCCGTTCTTATCAAATAGTTTTAATTGTTCACTTCAATCGGTGACCTAGTAACAATCATCATTTAATGCATAAGCTATTTCTTCACTATCAGCAAGAAAAAATAGGAGAGTAGAAAAAAAAAAAAAAAGGGAAATAATAAAAATAAAAAGCACTTTAATTTCAATATAAATATATGAGCAAGTCTATACATATACGCAAATGATAATGGAAGCCACAGTAAATAAAACCAAATTAAAATTTCATACGTGTACTTATCGTCGTTTAAGTATTGAACATGAAATCAATGAAAATATTCGTAAAAAAGATCATTTATCAACTTTACATTTTTATAACTATCGTGAACATTTATTTAATAAAAAACTTGATTATCTACAAAAAACTCTTGAACATATTGAACCATATGTTCATAATGATGATAATAATGAACAAGCATTAATGACACCAAATTGTTTTTCACGTATACAAAATCATTTTCGTTTATTAAATTTTTCATCCGAATCAGAAAAACGTTTATTATGTCAAGCACCATCATATAATAAATCAACTAAAAAAATATCAAATCAACTTCCAATTATTTTACAAAAACAAAATTCAAATGAAATAAATCAATGTATAAGACGTGTATCATTTTATCGATCACGTTCACCAATAAATTATTCATGTCGTTCAGCAAGAAATCATCATTTTTCAAATGGTGATGTACTTCAACAAAAAACATTTCAATCATATCTTAATCAACAAAAAATCGGCGAACAATATAAACAAATGAAAAATAATGAACGAAAAACTTTTCTTCTTAAAGAATTTGATGAACTTAAACATACCATTGATGATCCACATTCGACTTTTTCTGTACTTGCTGCACTCTCTCGTGCATTACTCTTTTTAGATTCTGGAAGAAAATAAAAGTTTTTTTTTTTTTTCACAAAACACAATTGTATATTTTGATATTAGATCTTATTTAATCAAAATAACAAACAAAACAAAAAAAAATTATTTTTTTTTCTTATTTGATGTTTTTTTTTTCTGTTCATATGATGGAAACAAAAACAGATATAAATATATTTTTTTTTCTCTTTAAGCCACAGATTGTGCATTAGCAGCGATACGTGGCCATAAATCAGCGCATTCTTTTGCTACGGGTCCTGTTATAGCTGAACCTTTCATTTCACCTTTGTTATTGACAATAACACCGGCATTATCTTCAAAATAGATAAATGTACCATCCTTTCGGCGAAATGGTTTACGTTGTCGAATAACCACGGCGGGCATAACTTTTTTACGTAAATCAGGTTTACCTTTCTTGATGGTTGCTAAATAAAAGTAAAAACAAATTATGTAAAAATAATTTCTAAAAGTTGAAAGACAAAAAGAAACATACAGATGATCATGTCACCAACGCAAGCAGCTGGTAATCGATTAAGTCGGGAACCGAAACCTTTGACCGAAATAACAAATAAATTTTTGGCACCTGTATTATCGGCACAATTGATAACAGCACCAACTGGTAAACCAAGTGAGATACGAAATTTACCACCACCAACACCACCACGACCTCTTTTCGCTGACATGATTGTGTGTTAATATAAATCTAGAAATATGAACATTTATTTATAAAAAACAAGAAAACCAAGTTCAGACTTAAAATGTTTTTTTTAATTATATATTTTTTTTCGATATAGACGCAGAAAAAAAAAGGAGAATAGTAGTAGAGACGACTAACAAGCAAAACAAAACAAAAAAATATAGAGAAAAAACAGAGACCATTTGTTTTTTGTTCGTAAAGACAAAAAATGTACATGTTTTTTTTTTTTACAACGACAAAAAGAATAATAGAATTTCATAATAACAATGATTGTAACGAGCATCATTAATTGTTGATTTAAGTAAGGCTCGATTGAAAATAAGAAACAGCACACAGCAAATAAACAAGTAGAAAGATTAGCTAATGATGAAAAACAAAAACCAAAAAAAAAACTTTGAAATAGAGAATATCACACACGAAAATTTTTTCTCTATAATCAAATGTTCATATCTTTATAGATGACAAGATTAAAGTTAAATTGTGCTGTTGAAAGAAATTCAGAAAACTATAAAACGAAGAACAAGAAATGACCGTAGTTACAAGAAAAAAAAAAAACTAGATTAGTCGAGCACAAAAGACGTCAGAGAAAAATACAAGAAACAAACAAAAAACAACAAAAGAAGAAAAAAAAAGAGATTCACACGCGTGCTGCCGTAGGTACAGAAATTGTCGTAGTAGTATTAATTGTTGTTGTCGTCGTCGTAGTTGTTGCTGTTGTTGCTGTTGTTGTTGTCGGATTTGTATTAGGATTATTTAAACTTGGATTTTTTAAAATACGTTTCGCTCGATAATCATATACATAACGACAAAAGAATATATTTTGATTATCGACATTTTTTGATGGTAATAATCGATGATGAATAGTGGCAGTATTTCTGTTTAACAGTGATTTTAACTGTCCAACTGATTCAGTATGTTCAAAAAGATCCGGTGTTTTCTCACGAATGCAATAACTAAATGAAAGCAAAAATTAATTATATTTAATATTTTCTGGTTCAATTACATCTTTGAACTTTTTATGAATTCAATTTGCCACTATGCATACAGCTAGTGTCCTGCACAACTACGATTTTTCGCAATCGAATCAGAGCTAATCGATATCTGACCGATATTTTCAAACTTTTATCTCAAATGAAAAAGTATAAGATTTAGTTTCTTTTATACACAGCAACCAAAAACTGAGATCATCTGAAGTTTCACAAAAAAGCAAGTGATTCATGATTAGAGCCCGTCGGATTGGTCTCGAATCCGGGTCTGAAAATTTTGGGCCCGATGGGCTCTATTCAGGATTCACTTCGTGTCTTCCTGCTTCTAAAATCTGATCGATTTCGCTAAGTATACATTTATGTCTGCTGCTTATGACGCTGGAATATAATGCAGTGTTGGTGCTAAACGTCATAATTGTGGACACATACATGAATGGATTTTTTTCTCCACGTCAATATATGTTCACTTTTTTATAATTCATTTTTCTTTTCATATATTCAGTTACTTCGTCATGTGATTCATCATCATCTGTAGATGAATTTTCATTAATAACGAATTCTTTTAGTAAAACAATATTGTTTTCTATTTCTGTGACCTGTTCTCAAGTACAATATATTGCTAAGTAAGAATCTTTTTTTATGTTCGGCGAGTTTGCATCCGAACCCATGTTACGACCTAAGCTCATTGCAAGACACTACATACATCTTCATATAAGCAAAATAATAAAGTGTCAGCTCATGCAAAACCTCTTTAAGTTCTTTTAATGTAGATATCAAAAGATAAAAAAATGATTTCTTATTTACCGATTATATTCATTAACATTCAGCACATAACATTTATCTTCGATACAAGCGACATTAACACAATCCCAATATTTTGATGCTAAAACTTCATTTGGTAAAAAGTGTTCTTTGACACGTGGTGGTAATTCACTATGTTTAGGATGATAATACCAAATAAGTGACATTTGAATTTCACCTTAAAAAAAATTTAAATATATGGTTTTTTTGTTGGAAGGAAAATAAAAAATTTCTTTTTTTTTTTACCTGATTCTGGTTCTTTCCAAAACCATTTTACTTTAGCTAAATAAGGTGTTATACCGTTTTGTTCTGCATTCTCAGGACGTAATAAAACACAATCATCTGATTTAATAATATCTTTTTCTTTAACATGTCGAATTGATGAGTAACATTCACGATAAACCGGCGGTTTGTCAGCCTAAGAAAACAAAATCAAATATACAATTTTTATTTGTAACGATGAAAGGTTCCCAAGTGTGATTTATCAACTGAACTGTTATTTTATTTATAAATAGGTCCCAGATGTAAAATTGTACTACTCTCCAGAATGACAGAGCCTTGAGACCAACTTTTATAGGCTTCTAGTAGTCACATGGGAACCTACTTATGATCAAAATATCAATACAATTGACAAATTACACTTGGGAATCTTCTCTCATAGGAAAAGAAGAAAATAGCGTACATCAATTGAAACTAATTTCTGTTCAGATTTTCCAAATAATGCCCAATAATGAGAAAATTTTTGTTTTTTTCTTTGATTAGGATTCTTATTAGATCCTACTAATGTAACTGAATGTGGTGATTGTGATCGTTTTGTATTCGTTATATGTGTCGATGATTTTGATCGTATTGAGATTGCTGATGATGAATTTGTACGTGTTGCACGAGAATTTTTATCATTTATTGAAATATATGTTGTTGCACTAGCAGTTGCTGCTGATACACTACGACGTTTATGAATACATTGAGAAAGTTTATAATCACTATCACTACTAATAGATAATTCACCATTTGAACTAAGAATATTTGATACAGGTGAAATAATTGTTTCGAATGTTCCTATTGGATTTGTCAAACGTTGACGTTGATGAGATGGACTTGTACTGAAAGGGACACTGATAATTTTCGTAGGTAATGTAATGATTGAATTAATTGTATATGGCGTTCGATCACCAATTGATGGGGTTGGTGAACTATATAAAAGACAAGATGTTTTTTTTTTCAACGTACAATTTAGAGAATAATAGATTTTTATTTACCTATTCGATTTTGAACCAGAATTAACACGTCCTTTAGCTGGAGATGGTTTTTTCGGTGTCGTCTTTTTTATTGTTTCATCATGTTCATTTATAGTAAATTTTTGATTTGTTGACGATAAATGTTTAATAGAAAAATTTAATGCTTCATTTTCTGTTGTAGGTGATAATGGTATATCAGTTGATGAAAACAATTGATGTTCTTTTTTAACAACATTATTTACACTTAATGGTAAAATTGTTTTTGTTTCAACAAGTTGTTCTCTATTAACTAGAATACAAGATTTTTGAGGAGATAATGGTACTGTTGTTGTTTTAGTTTGATTAGGTGATTTAAGTAAAGATGATGTATTTGAAGATATAGGTGGATTTGGATTATGTATATGATGATGATGATGTGTATGTAAATGAAATGTTAATGCTTCTTTTTTTGGTGATAATGCTTGTTTTTGTTGCTCATCAAATACTGGTATAATCGATTGTTGTTTTATATTATTGGTTGAAATATTTGTTGTTGTTAATGTTGAAGATTTTTTTTGTTTTGTTTCTAAATGTGTTGTTGTACGATGACGTGTTATAGATGTTTTATGATGAACAATAGGTGATGATGGAGGTGGAAGTGTTGATGATGGTGGTATAAGACAACTTGCTTGTTGACTAAGTAATGATGCCGATGACGGAAATGTCCAAGCTGGATAAAAAGAAAATACAATAAAAAACACACACAAACAATAAACATTAAATATTTAATATGTGAAGTAAATAAAAGAAAGGAATTAAATCGTCAAATGATCGCTTGAAACAATATACTAATAGTTCGATAATCAATTAGTGAGGAAAAAAAATAGAAAGAAAGCATTTTTGAAAAGGGAAAAAAAGAAAGCATATAAAACAAAAGGAATATGTGTGAATTTATTTGGAAATCTACATACCAGTAGCTGCTGTCAATCAAAGATTAAGTGTTTTTTTTTTCTATCTACAACAATCGAACAATATGGCATTGGAAAGGGGAGGAGGCATGCAAAAGCGAATATGAGAACAGAAGTCTGATTCGTTTATTTCTTTTTCTTTCAGTAGTAGTAATTTATCAGAGAAATCATACATATATATATATATATATATAGATATAGACATAAGAAAGTCTCGCTTGCATTTATGTAAGATTACTATTTGTATAAAACTCGACTTGTTCTTTTTTTGAATATCCAAATAACAACAATGCAAGAAAGAAATAATAAAGTCCAAAATTAAAAAAAAACTGATATATAATAATGAATGAATATATAAATAAATAATGTGTATGTATACATATCAAGAATATCAAGAAACAGTGGCATGCAAGTCATTCATTGATGCGGCTTACCCGGATATTGCCAACAAGGTAAAAGAGGATAAAATGAACGTAAATCGATGGGAAATGCAGCTGCAGCTGCAGCAGCGGCAGCAGCAGCGGCAGCAGCAGCTGATGGTGCAAGAAAAGCTGGAGTTGTTGTAGCTGCAACATTGTTTGTTGACATTGGTGTTGATGCTGTTGATGAATGTTGATGATGATGTTCAAGTGAAGAAGAAAGTGGTCGTGATGATAATGATGATGATGATGGTGTATTAACTGTTGTTGTACCAATAATAGCAGGAGTTATAGTTGCAAAAGAATTTATTAAAGGAGTCGATGAAACTGAATGTTCTGGTATCGTAATCGATGCAGCTTAAAAATAAATAATATGAATTAATATTATAATAATAGATGATTGAAAAAGCTTTTAAACAAGATGTTTGTTCACTTTTGACATATTTTCGACGAGTCAAAATTTATGAGTTAGGATGCTATTTTTGAAAATTCAATATCTTGACGAAGGAATATTCTTTCGACTGAAACTTTCAAGATATTCTAAGAGTCATGAGACCTATCTAAACGGGAAAATTTTAAATCGAAATTCTGTTAT